CGCCGCCGCCTCGCCAGGGTCCCCGGCGCTGCGCACCTCTGTCAGGGACCGGCTCCGACCAGCGACCAGCGACCAGCGACCAGCCGGGTCGCCTCCTCCTCGCCAGGACGCCAGGGGCTGGGCGCGGGCTGTGGGCTGGTGGAGAGTGGGAGGCCGCCCCCGCCCCCACCACGCCCCTACTTGCCTTTCCAGGCTCGGGGCCTGGGTGGTCGTCCTCCCCTCAGAGCTCCTCACTCAGCTGCCCCCCGCCTTCCGCCCGCTCGGAATTGCAAGGAGGCGTCCCGCCCCCCGCGCCTCTGCACCAAGCCCGGCAGGGGCTGCGCAGCATGCGGCACGAGCCCACAAACCGCTGGCAGCGAGGGTGTCGGGAAGGGGGGCGGAAGGATACGGCACGAATGGGCTCGACGCCCCCTCCCAGGCCCACCGTAGTTCCGACCCGAGGGGGCGTGGCCGGGGCCTGGGCCGGGCCTGGAGGAGACCCAGCCCAAGGGGGAGCTTAACCTCAGCCTGCCTCAGTGGGCCAACGCGGCCCTCTACATGGCGACCATCGTCCCGTTTCTGCCACTACAATCTATGGGACCCGCGGGCGGGGGCTGGGGGGCCGGTCCGGGAGGTTAGAAGGAGCAGCGCAGGACGCTGCAGCGGATGGATACAAACCGCCCCTTGGTGTGTGCGAATCCCCACACGGCTCTGTCTGCCCACTCCTCCTCCTCCATCCCACCCGCCAGCCTTTCTGGGTGCTGAAGGGAGAGGGGCTGTGAGGCCTGCAGGCTGTGAGGCGAGAGGCGATCCAAGGCCAGACCACCCCCATGTCCTGGGGTGGCCCCCTAGGGTTTCTTTTACTGTTCAGGGACGAGGGAGGGGAGGACGCTGGGAGGGGGCTGCCTCGGAGGCCTCACCATTAGTCCCTCTTCTACAGGCGGCAGACCTAGACCTCTAACCCTGGCAAACGGTCCAGTGCTCTGCGCCCAGAGTCGTTCTTTCTGCCATACTGCTTTTTTCTCATTCGAAATGATTATACATGTTGCCATTTTGTGGTCCCTGCAGTTGCCCATGAGTTCCCTTCCCTGTCCGGACCCACACTGACCATGCAATCCCCTGTCTGTAGCCCCACAGCCAAGTGTCAGGCACCAGGTAGGGCATGTCCTGGCTCCTCTTCCTCTGCTCTGTCAAGTCTTCTCTTGCAGTCACATCCAAGCTCTCATGATCTTTGGCAGCGTGGAAATGTGGCAGGGATTAGAACCAGCGTGGATCTCAGCCATTTCCCATACACACCTGCCTAGTTTGTCCTTTAGAGTTGTTAACATATTAAACATACGTATTTTAGCTTCCCTGATAATTACACAGTCTACAATATATATGAGCCTGGTTCTGATGTTTGCTTTGTATTCTGTCTGCGTTTTCTTGTGTTTTAGCATGCCTTTTAATTTTTTGCTGAAAGCTGTGTATGATAAACTGGGTAATAGGAACTGAGGTGAACAGACCCTTTTCAAGAAGTTTTATGTTAGGCTGGTTTAGCAGTTGAGCTGTGTGTAATGTCTGCTGTAGCTGTAGGTGCCAGCGTTCAAATTCCTTTAAGTGTCCTTATTTTTGTTTTCCTTCTTATCTTTGGGCTTCCCTAATACTCCTGGCAGAGAGTCTGCATGTTTATAGCTCTTTTAGCTGTACTCCACTCCTATTATACTGGAGGCTTGTGACATGGTAAAAACGTATAGAGAAGTGTTCTATAATCTTACAATTAAATTCCAGCCCTTTGTGGGCTTGTGTCCCTAAGCTGTGTCCTTCACAAATACTTCTTAGTTCTTTCCCCTCCTTACATGAAAATGGAAGAATAGAGTGGGGTGGTTAGGAGGAATGCCTTTGCCTTAGCAGGGATAAGGCTCTGGGAAAGTCTTTTCCACTGCAGAGTAGGCCTTTGTCACAGAGAAAGCTCTGGGTGTATTTCACATGAGCATACTTCCCCTTCCACTGTCAGAGCCATGAGGAGATCTTTCTGGAATCTTCACTGTAAGAACCTGCTAGAGTTCCTGGATTTAAAGCCTACTAAACCTCTAAGACTCTAAACCCCACTCGCATACTATTCCAAACTTGGTCTCCAGCAATTTGTCCAAATTACTATTTAAGTCTTCTCTCCTGTTTATGTCTCTAGCTGTTTGTGCACTATGTAAGGGGAGATAGGCTGTGATTCTCTGGATTTGTCTTTTCTCCAGAATTCCAGGTGGTCATTTGCCCTGTGACCTGTTTTCTCATGGGTCTAAGATAAGTCCCTGATTCTCACTTTGGTCAGCATTTTTTCTGGTTATAAGTGTAAGAGCAATGACTTCCAAGCTCTTTACATGGCAACTGACACTGGAAATCTGGCCTACAGATTTTAATTCTGTAGCTAACATCCAGTGAACAGCTTCTGTCCTCTTTTCAGCTGAACTTCGATCTGGAAAATGAAAAACTATCTGATATTCTGAAATACCAGCATGTATCAGGTCTCTCTAGTTCCTTTTAAAAATGTAATCTAGTCATATTATGGGGTAGGCTGGGGTAAGTAGGAAAGGGTAAATGAGAATTCCATGGTGGCTTTTAGTGGTCTTAATTGGAAAGACACTGCCCTGTTCTCTTTGTTACTATAACCTTAATGCTTTGTAATACTCTGTTTTGCCTACCATAATTAACCCCGTACTAAAAGAACATCATTTTTGCATAAGTATGCCTCCCTTCTCCTTGTGGTCATGTACCACAGGGAGGCTGATCCCAGTTCCAGAAGTGAGTCTACATTGTCTAGGGGTAATCTGTTCCTTTGGTACTCTCTGGTTCAGGAAGGGTGATGATCTAATTCAAACTCTGCCCAATGAGACATTAGGAGAAGATTGCAGAAGAACTAAGAAAAGTATCCTCACTCATAAAAAAAGGCAATCAGGAAAAATTGTCTCCTTTTTTTCCTCAGGAAGTTGCTTGACTCCTAGAATCATTACAGCCATCAAGCTTGCAGCCTTGGGATGGAAGCTAATACTGTGAATGGCAGAAGGAGATGGAAAAAAACTGAGTCCTTAGTGGAATCAAGCAACCATCAAGGCCTCAGTACTTCCAATCCCTGGATCATAAATTTCCTTATTAAGTTAGTTCAGTTCAGTTACTTGTTATATGAAAATGGAACAATCTTAAATGATATGTATGCTTAGGCAAAGAATAACTCTTCAGTGAGTAATAGTTCCTGACTTTTGTCCCTCAGTGAGCACCTACCTCTGAAAACCAGTGGCAGAACTCATGTTTCCATGTGAAAGGAAAACTGTAGATTCTGAATGCCTTGCCTAAAGGTTGCTAGAGGTCTGACAATTGTAACTGGCTTCTGTCCTAGATTTAAAAGGAAAGCCTCAGGGAGAAAACCTAAACCCTTACTTATCTAGGGGGTTCAGAGGTACATTAAATACTTGAGCTCATAGATAAGCCTGGTTCAGAGTCATTGTGTAAAAGTGCACCCTTATGAAATGTCCATAATATAAAGATATTAGAGGTTATCTGCGTTCAATTCAGGGGGCTGTACTGAGTTTGAGGAAGATAAATTCATAGTGTCAACATTCTGAAAGTTTTGGTTAACTTTCCCCA